TGATATAAAACAAATTAAAATAAAAATTATTGTTTTTTTATTCTTTATTTTAATATAAAAGTATTTCTTTTTTCATATTTGTTTCTTTCTTTATTTAAAACTTTGTAAATTTTTCATATTCAAAAAGGTCAGACCAAATATGAAGATATAAAAATTTCAGCATATTTTTGTGCTAGAATTGGTTGGTCTTTTCAAAGTATAAATATAAAATTGAAATCATTATCCTATTTCTTGAATTGCAAAGGAAAAATTCCTACATATAATTTTCGATAATATAATGAAAATATAAAAAAGAAAAATAATTTATTTTATATATGTATAAATTTTAAAATAAATTAAATTACTTTTTTGATTAACCACCCGTTTCTTATGCAATCAAAGTAATTTGAATTTTAATTCTAGCAAATGTGAGGGAATGTTTGAGAGATAAGAATGAAAAGTTAATTTACACTAAATTTTTAATATTTTTTTTTTAGTTTTGAAACGAGTAAATAAATATCCTACTCTATAAGAATTCTAGCAATTTCTAAATCAAAAAAAAAAACCAAAATTTATTTTAATCTTAAGAATAATTCAAAAATGTATACGCTTTTCTATTTCAAACTTTCAAAGGAAATAGAAAAAAAAAAATTAAATAAAAACTTGTCTTTATATTTGTTATAAACTTTTTCGAGCGACATAATATTAAATATATAAGTATATAATGATCTCATAGCAAATATTTACATACCAGTATATAATATATATATAAAATCATTCACATTTAAGTACGTTAAGTCAAAAAAAAAACTATTACGTGTTGTAAACAAATAAAAAGAAAATAATAATTAACTAAAATGGCATATTTAAAGACCAAGAGAATTTTTTATAGAAAACTTAATAACTAATTAAAAATAGATGGCTGAATATTTAAAAAAAAAATAAATATTTTCAACCGAAATTGATTAATCTTTAGTATTGATTAATTATTTTATTAAAAATAAATTATTATTAATATTAATCCAGAATAACTAATTATTCTGGTAGTAAAATTAAATACTCTGTTACATATTTGCTTACTTCATTTTATTTTTTAATTATTTATATTCTCTTACTACCTGAAGGTTTCACTTTAAGTTTGTGCAATATTTTTTCAAAGTATTGAGGGTTTTTAGTAAAAAATTTAATTATTTGAAATTGATTTTTATTTTGAATATTACAAAAACTATAAAATTTTTCTATATATTTCAATCACTTTAAATGGTGCATCTAAAAGAATATGAGTGCGTGTAATTTATATAATTTAAAATATATTTCCATACTTAATTTGTTTTTGCAGTTTAATCAAAAACGAAAAATTGGAATAAATTTTATAAGATTTAAATTATTATGATATTAAAATTAATGCCTAATTAAAAATTTTGTGGCTGCAAAATGCTAAGGTAGTTTATTGGAAACTCAAATCTATGTGTATATGATATTTTTAACAAGAATTTGGTCATTTTAGTTGACGCTATGATTTAAATTACATAAACTCTTGTTAACGCTAAAATTCGTATAATTAATAAAATTAATTATAGTTTCCACGGTTCTCATTTTAGTGTCACCTGTTCAAAATAAATAGATATATTGAGAATATAGATATGGCACTTATTTAGGTAATAAACATTATTTTTTTAGTCAAAAATTTAATTGTATTTTTATACAAAATTATGTACTCTTCTTATTAATAATTTCAACTTTATTATTACCCAATAAGTAAATACTCTTGGTCATAATTATGAAATATTTATTTATTTTATAGCAAGGCCAAAAAAATTGAAATTTAAAATATTAATTTTATACCATATTTTATATAAATATACTAAAATTACGAAAAAAAAAACAAAAAAATTAAATTTATTGAGAGAAAAAAAGAAATTTGTAATGGAAAGAAAAGAATGATACAGTAAGAAAAAAGAAACTTTATATAAAATATTAAATTTAAACATAAAAATTTAGAAAAATATATTAAATTTATTTATTAATAAAGGAAAATAATAAAATACTTAAAAAAATTTAACAGAGTTCATTCGGTCAAAATACATAAAAATTATACAAAATTTTAATTGAAATATTTCAGATATCTCTCTGTATAGTTTATTATGTACGTATATGTATATATATATACATGTATATACGTCTAATGAAAATGCATAGAAAAATTATATAAAAAAAAAAGTTTAAATCTATCCTTATGTAACGAAGTATTTAAAAAAGAATAATAAATCCAAAAAAAAGATAAAATATAAAAAATATTTAATTGTGTGTTTTCATAATCTACTATATATATATGTATACATATAAAAAAAAATAAATTAATTTAAATTAATAGTTCTATATGACATTAAATAAATAATTATTTACTGTTATTATGCCTAAATTTAAAAAAAAAAAAAACTATAATTTTTAATTAACTTTTAAAAGTTATTTTTTAATTTCTTATTTATATTTCGATTGTATGACTTGTTCTTCTTAAAAACAGTGCATATGTCTGAATTATCGAAAATCCCGTACCACATAAATATATATATATATATATATATATAAATTTATTAATAATTTATTAATAATATTTTATTAAAGTAAATTTAAGCCTAAAATTTTCGAAATCAAATTCTTATTTTTGCATTCTACTGTTCATTTTTTCACGTTACCAAAATAATAATTTCATATAGAACTATAAATTTTTTCTAAAAAAAAATAAAACAAAAAATATATATTAACTATACTACTTCCAACGCTTTTAAAAAATGTTTTTACAAAAATATTGAATTATATAAAAAAAAAATCTCATGTATTAAACAAAAAAAAAAAAAAAAGTAAATAAATTAATAAAAATAGTACCAATATGTAAACAGAGTAACCCCATGAATACTATAAATATGTACTTATAAAATAAATTTATGTACCTATACATACACATACATATTATATGCTATGAATATTAATAATACAACCATCAAAACTGATTCATTTATTATTTTAGTAAATTTATATTTAAAACATTATATAAAATTATAGCAAATCCAAGCTGAAGTAAACTTAAAAAAAAATGCAAAAACACAAAATTTAAATATGAAAAAATAATTATAATATTATATAATATACCTATTAATAAAACATTTACATTTTTTTATTGGAAATATAAAATAAAGTTATAATATAAAACTACTTTCATTATAATTAAAGCAAAAAATTAACAAAAAAAAAACAGTATAAACTAAATTAATATAATAATTAACAATTTATTTATATAATAAAATAATCTTTGGAGTAAAAAATAAAAGACAAAAAAAAAAAATAAAAAAAACATACCAAAAGAACTTACATGTAGTTTATTAAATAATAAAATCCGCAATACTGAAATATAAATATAAAAAGAAAAATAATAAGTTATAAATAAATATACTTAGATAGATATTATTTCTAAAATTAAAAATAATTAGTTATATTATGTACAATCTATATATATATATATACATAATTGAAATCAATTATAAAATATTATAAATAGTTAATAACGCTAATTATTATAAAATATTTATACATTATTACATATAGATGTACGTATTTATGTATATGTAATTATTATTAACTATTTTTTTTAATATTATTATTATTATTACTATTATTACTATTATTATGATTATTATTATTATTATGATAATTAAATATAATGAATAAAATATAATAAAAATATAAGGGACAGAATAAAAAAAATAAAATATTCTTTAAAAATGTTAGAAAATATAATAAAATATAAAATAAATTAAATACAAAAAAAATCGCATAAAATGTATTTAAAAAAAAAAGTAAAATAATAAATTCAAAAGCAAAAAGATAATATCTAAAAAAAAACAAAAAAAAAAACTGAAAATAACACTGTAAAAATTATAAAAAAAAATTTTGAGATTTAAATAAATTATTAACTATTATAATATTACCGAAACCAAAAATGTGTTATTATTTTTTTAATTAATATTTTTTTTCAGATTTAATACTTAATTTACATTACTCATTGTCATATTATGCTAGACAATGTTTTTGATACAAGTGACATACAAGTGAGTTCTACATAAATATATAGTAAACAATAAATTTGTGTTATAATTATTAGAAGAGTCTTAAAAATCGGAGTTTTTAAAATTTATTTTTCCTTAACTTTCGTTATTTTTTCTCTCTAACATTGTTTTTTATTGAGAATAACATAAATGTTAAATTTTAATTTTGCCTTCTGAAGATATTTTCGAAACTATTACCAAAAAATATTGATCATCATATTATTCAGTATTATGTTGCATAAGCTTGATACGAATTTCGTTAAAAATTTTCGTTATCTCGTTCAATTATAAAACAGACTTGAGCATTTGTAAACGTAGCCAAATAAATATTGAGTATAAGAACTTTTCGATTCGCACAAGCACAACTTTATATTGTTACTTTTTAGTTGAATGAGTATTTAATTACAATTTGATTATTTTGGCTTAATTTAGTATCTTACGATATAAATTAAAAATTATATCGCTATATACAATGATTCAATAAAAATTTCATCTGCTTCCTTGTAACATTGATTTGAATTTTATTTTTAATTAAAATTAAATTAAATATTTTTAATAAATTGAATACAAAGTTTCATATATGTATATATGTAGTTCATTTTTAAAATAAATTTTAAGTATTTTATTTAACTTTAAAAATTTCACAGTTTCTATATTTTTAGAAAATTGTAATTAATAGAAAATCTTTAAAAACAAGATAAATTTTAGAAAATGGCATTAATGTTTATTGTAACCATACCATATTCAATATTTTTATTTCTAATAATGGCAACACTGATTTAAAATTGACAATTTAATTTTGACATTTTCAACAATATTTGAGTATTTTCACCAATGACAGCCACAACTATTCTGTCTCATGAATTAGAAAAGGATGAAATTATAGAAACAGAAAATAAAATACATAGTTTACAAGAAGGTGCAATTTATTTTCTTCCTTTACAAAATTCATTTTTTTTGGTGATGTGAATTGTTTAAAATCTAATTTCAAAGTTTAAAAATATTAATTAAATTTCTTAGTTTACATTTTGCATAAAAAAATGCATCGATTGTTCAAATGGTATGTTTAAAAGAAATTAAATATTCTATCGAAAATGTTGAAAAAAGTAAAAGAAAAAAAAGTGACAGGAGTATTGTTTTCGAAATGTGTTCTATTTTGTGCTTCTCCCGACTCCTGATCAGCTACGGCCTATTTATTTTTTTTTGTGTATTATAAATTTATGGTTGGCTTATTTTATTTATCATAATATACAATATTTACAATATATTTTCAAATATTTTTTTGTATTTTAAATAGGAAATAATTGATTTATAACTTTTTTTTTCAATGACCAATATAAACGAGTGATTAAAAATTGTAATTAGGATTAAGGTCGGAAAAATTGTACAGAAGGAATATTGATTTTTGCAAAAACTTTTATTAATTGAAATTGCAAAAAACTTTTATTTTTTAAATATTAATATATAATTTTGGAATTTCAATAAATATTTCATTAAGAATAGTTATTTTAATAAATACATATGTAGTGAAGATTGCCAGTTTAAAGTTGAAAAAAAAAATTTTTGTTTCATGAAAAAGGACATCTGAAATAATTTGTGATTATGATAGTCTTACAAAGGAAGGATATATAAATTAGGTACCTACATAATTGTCTGAATACAAGATATCAAAACCGGTTTGAACTTTTTTAATAGATTGGTTCAAATTTATATTAATTTTTTTGTGTAAAATTTGATGGAAAAGTTGATTGTCCGACAAGTATGTGTAGTATGTAAAACATGTTATAATGTACACACACAGTAATCAACTTGCAAAAAGAAAAATAAAAAGCCTTTTGAAATTAATTTGCAACAATGTCTTATTTTAACTAGGTAGGTACCTACTACAGATACATATGCCTTACAATATTTCTTTGGTAAGTGAAGGCGTATGCAAAACAATGTGTACATATATATGTATGTCCGAATTTACCAGGAATGTAGATATATAACTATACATGTAGGTAGACATGTTTTTCTTTTTACCTAAACCAGGATATTAATTTGGCCTACTTAATTTGAAGTTTCTTTAATCTAAATGTTTTTTTACATTTCCAAATAAATATTCATAATTGGCATTTTGTAAATGATTTTTTAAAAAGTTCAAAAAGTATAAAATTATAAAACTAATATAAAATTTTTATCAACTAGACACTTGTGTAAATGTTTGGTCAAGAAGTCGTCTTAAATAAAATCTTAGGGTAATTAATGAATTTTAAAAATTTGGCTTCATTTAATTTTAAAGATTTAATCAGATTTAATATTTGCACATGTAAGGTAATATTTAGTACACAATTCCTATGGTAGGTATATACATATGTAAGATCAAAATGTTCCGACCTTAATCCAAAGCTACTTACAAAAATGTGAATAAATCTTTTATCCTTCAATTACTTCCTATTCTTTTATTTTTGTACTAATACATTCTTTTTTCATGCTATCTATTCACTTTTGCTTTTTCTATTCACAATGTGTTTTGTTTTGTGTTATGATTTTTGTATTTTTTTGTTATTTTGCTAATATCAAATTTTACGCCTTTTACTTCACAGATTATTTTAACTTTATTTTAGTTAAAAAAAATATACAAAATTACTTCATCTCATTTACTTTTATCCAATTAAAAAATATTTCAAATCTGCACACAATATATTTCATAAAATTCACATACACTACACACTACTCAAAAATAAAAAAAAAGAAGAATTTTTGCATTTTTCTAAAAAAAAAAAAAAACTAAAATTTCATTATGAACCCTTCTGAACTAAGAATGATGTTGATGAATCATTATAATCCAGAACGAATTTCTCTAGAGGATGCTACAACATATTTCGGTCAACCTTCTCTTGGACTTTCATTAGTGGACGAATTAGCCCATCATTCAGCAGGAGCGATGGTAAGTATTTTTTTTTTTTGAAATATGGATTCCTATAATTCATTTTACATTTTACTAGAATGAAATTTGCAACATAAAGTAAATTATTTATATAAAAATACATATTATTCAAAAAAAATAAGATGCTGTAGCACTTCATAACTAATAGTTGGGCAATTTTGAAACTGATTTTTTTTTAGAGTAAAATCAAAAAATATTTTATGCATGCTGTTTAATTTTATGAATTTATGTATTATTTAAATTTTTACATTAAAGTATTTCTTAATTATAAGATTTAAACGATTTTAGTATAAAAAATTAAAAGAAATATTCGTAAAAATTAAAATATTCGCTTTATAATTGCAAAATTTAAATTATATTTTAAATTTAAATTAATCAATTTTTGAATTTTATTTAGAATATCTTTAATTTTTTATATTAAAAGCATTAGGTTCAATAAAATCTTTGTATTACATTATATACAATATATTATAATGCGTGTATGGGTTAGTTTGCATTTTTAATTCGATGAATAACAATCATTGGATATTCTAAATTTTAGTAAAAAAAAATCTTTGTTAAACATATAGTCTACTACATTATACTTTTTTTTTTTTTCATTTATAAAAAAAATCCCACATGGTCCTCCCCACTAAAATCAATATTAAATTATTTTCAAAATTATATTTTTTTTATTTTCAAAATTTATTTAAAAATAAAAAAATACAAATATTTACGCTCGCTCAATAATATAAAAAATAAAATACAATGAAAATGCTATTTCTTTGGTCAAATTTTTTCGAAATTCAAAATTTACAAAAAAATTAATAAATTAAAAAATAAAGAATATGAATCCTATGATGAGTATTGTTGGGGGGGAGTATGGTGGTCATCAGGCAGCGGCATTAGCAGCAGCAGCAGCAGCGGCAGCAGCTCAAGGAGCAACCGGCACAGCTTTAACTCAAGCTCCATCACACGCATTAATAACAGCAAATCCAGAACTTTATGGAATACCAAATGTTGGTAGCTTACAACACTTGTTACAACAGCAAGCTAGTGGTCCATTTACAAATTATTCAGCAATGGCTGATGATGATGATATTATGGATACAAGTAATAGCGGTGGTGGAAATGGCGTTAACAATAATGGCAACAGAATTGTTGATGAAAATATTAATAATGGTAATGGAAATAACGGCAATGAAAGAAATTGTAACATTACCAATAATGACAATCAAGAAAATTATGAACAAATTGATGATAATGATTATGATTCAACAATAATGCATGATAATAGAGAAGTTATTAATATTGATGATTTTATATTAATGGATAATGATGAAAATGATAATGATAACGAAAATAGTAATTCATTTGATGATATTGTTTTAACACAACCTACAAAACCAACAAATAGAAAAACCAGAAAAATTGAGCCAGTTAATCGACCAGGTTTGGTGTTAAAAACACCAATTGCCTATAGAGGGAATATAGATCCATCTGTTATACCAATTCAACGAGATGGAATGGGTACGTTTATTTTTAGTTTCTTATTTTTTTTATAATTTTTTCATTTAACCGATTCGTTTTTGTTTTCAAGCAAATCTAGTTTTTTTTTTTATTTTAATTATTTTTTTTTCTTGGTATAATTTTCAATTAAATTTTTAATTTTATATACATATTTAAGTATATAATATTGGGTATTGAATTTGACAAATTTCCAATTGGAAAAATGGATTGATTGGTATATTAATATAATAATGATTGATGAAATTTGGATTATTTTAGGAAATTAAAAATGATAAAAGAACGTTTTGCCTTTTGCAATAAAATTATTAATTAAGTATTGAACATTAAATAAATTTAATAACACTTATTGTAATAGTGCTTTTTTACGTTTAATTTTTCTAAATACTTTGCGATTAAATAAGTAGTTATTACAAAATATTCTTATTAAGTAACACTTACAATAAATTTATTATTTATATTTATCTACATTATAGGCAATTGATTTTTTAGTTCTAATATTGCTTTACATTTTATCTGTACATATTTAAAAAAAATAATAATTTTTCTAATAAATTGATTTTTAAGTAGGATATTATATGATTTTCACTTTTTATTCAATACCCTTTTCTTTTGTTATAGAGGAATCGATTGCAGCATGAAAAATTAAAAACTTTTGCTTTTGATCAGCTGCAAGAACACTATTTACTAAGTTGTTTATTGCATGGATCTTAAATTTAGATTTTTTTAAACAATTTACATAATATAAAAAAATAGAGATACATACTATATATTACTTTTGAATCAGTTGAGAATTAAATTTTTGGAAAATATCTTACGTATATTGTAGAAAGCTTATATAAACTTTGATGAAATTGTATTGAGCATTGAAAAATTAAGTTTGTACTAGTATTGAAATTTAATTCTCAATTTTTATTTTACTTTAATAATTATTTTATATGAGTATTTTATTGGATATTTATTCTGTTTTTGTATATAACATCTATTTTCTTTTTTTTACAAACTGTTGAAATAGTTTTTATTATCAACAGTTAAAATTATCTAATGATAATTCCGAAAAAATAAGAATTTGTATAACACAAACTTGAGGTGACTGCATTTAGCATCGGCAATCGACTATATTCAAACTTAGCTATTGCAAAGCATTTTCCACAAAGCATTAATTATAAAAAAAAATTATTTTTGTGTGTCTGCAAAAAAAAAAAATAATAAGGATGCGATTTTACTTTAATATGCACCCTGAGATCATGATAATTAAGAAATAAAATTGGAACTATTAAATTTTAAAGTGCACGAAATTGTAATAAAATAAAAACGATAATTAGTTTTAAAAATTTTTAGTCATAAAATTATTTAAAATTAATTAATTTATGCTTTAAAATTTTAGCTGTTTGTGAAAGATGTGGTGCCATTGGTGTAAAGCATACATTTTACACAAAATCAAGACGTTATTGTAGTATGGCATGTGCTAGAGGAGAATTGTTTAATTTAGTTTCTAGCGATTTGCAAAATTCAAATATAAATAATTTATCAAATATTGAAATGACTAGTTCAACAACAAAGCCAGCAACAATATTTAACAATAATTTTAATTCACAAATCGCAAATAATTCTACAAGTGGACATGTTTCTTTAAATAGTGGTAACGTTGGCGTTGTGGGGGATAATACCAAAGATGGAGATGTGGAACTTGAATTACAAGTTTCACAAATTAAAAATAATAATTATCGATTTAAAATTGCTTGTGATCCTGAAGAACAAATAAATCAGCAACAGCAACAATTACAGCAACAACAGCAGCAACAGCAGCAACAACAGCAATCAAGTACAATTTTACAACAACAATTTAATGGAATTAATAATGAAAATGGACGTAATTGTGAAATAATATCATCGAAAGCAATACTGTATCGGGATGTCTTACCACAAGATGAAGTACCACAAATACCAAAATCCGATCGTCTTCCATCGCCATGTCCGCAAGATGAAAAGATATGTAGTATACGAAGAAAAAGAACCGATACTTTACACACTTTTGATTGGATTGGTGAACTTTCGAAACCAAATTTTTTTGCTGCTCCAGTTACCTGTTTTCCACATGCTCCTGGTTTTGATATGTGGGATAATATTGGAATTGATATGAAAGTTGAAGTTGAAAATACGGATTGCGACAATATATTGAATATTCAACCTGGTCAAACACCACATTCATTTTGGGTGGCTACAGTTCTCAATATTTGTGGCTATAAAGCCCTCATGAGATACGAAGGTTTGTTGTAGCATACTTTGAAAAACTAAAGATAAAACTAACATACAAAAATAAAAATATTTTTTTTAGGTTTTGATGATGATTCACATGATTTTTGGGTGAATTTGTGTTCCTCAGAAGTTCATCCAGTTGGATGGTGTGCGACTCGTGGAAAACCATTAATACCGCCAAAATCCATAGAAAATAAATACAGTGATTGGAAGGAATTTCTTGTTACCAGATTATCTGGAGCTAGAACATTACCATCGAATTTCTACAATAAAATTGCAGACAGCTTTAAATCCAGATTTCGATGTGGTTTAAATTTAGAATGTGTTGATAAAAATCGCATATCACAAGTTAAATTAGCTACCGTACATAAAATTGTTGGTAAACGTTTATATGTTAAATATTATGATTCACCCGACGATGGTTTTTGGTGTCATGAAGATGCTCCAATTATTCATCCCGTTGGTTGGGCTACTACTGTTGGACACACATTAGCAGCACCGCAAGATTATCTCGATAGAATGATTGGTAAAAAATTTTAAAAAATATATTTTATTGCTCAATAATTTACAATGAACTCAAAAATTTTTTTAGCTGGTCAGGAACAAATGATCGAAATGCATGAAGACGACGCTCCTATAGAATTATTTAAAATGAATTTTACGTTTGAAGAGTATTATTTAGATGGAAAAACTAACTGTTTTGTAAAAGGAATGAAACTAGAAGCAGTGGATCCACTTAATTTATCATCAATATGTGTGGCTACTGTAATGAGTGTATTGAAATTTGGATATATGATGATTAGGATAGATTCTTATGATCCTGATGAAACTGGTTCAGATTGGTAAATTTTGATTTTTGATTGAAAAATGTAATATAAAATTGGTAAAAAAATATATTGTAGGTTTTGTTACCATGAGAAATCGCCAAGCATTTTTCCAGTAGGATTTTGTGCGGCTAATAATATACAGTTAACTCCACCTCACGGATATGACCAGAAAACGTTTACTTGGGAAACTTATTTAACAGAAACCGGAAGTTTGCCTGCTCAAGAGCAATTGTTTGATAGATCTATTCCAGAACACGGATTCGAAGTAAAGACTATAGTAAAACTTTTTATTTAGCAAGTCCCTAACAGCTTATTTATTTAAGATTGGTATGAAGTTGGAATGTGCAGATTTGATGGATCCACGCCTGGTTTGTGTGGCAACAATTGCACGAATAGTAGGTCGCTTACTTAAAGTAAGCTTCGATGGTTGGCCGGAGGAGTATGATCAATGGTTAGACTGCGAATCGCCAGATTTTTACCCTGTCGGATGGTGTGTTTTAGTTGACCACAAACTAGAAGGTCCACCAGTTCGAAATAAACCCCAAATTCCTCAAAAAGCAGTTCCAAAAAATACAAAAAAAAAGAAGAGAAAACCAAACTATTGCGGTAGGTTAGGCAGCGTTACGTTAAAAATTCATTTTAAGAGAAAAATATAAACTATTTAAATTGAATTAACTTTCTTAGGAAGAGGTAGGCCTCCTAACATTAAGAGAGAAGGAAATGAAAGTCGAAGTGCATCAAGAAACAGCCAAAATAGTTCAGCTAGTTCAAATCGCCTTAGTATTAAATTAGAAATGAAAAATGAGCCACATGAAGACGATATGGATGAATATGAATTTGAAGATGAGGAAGAAGAACTAATAAGTGGAAAAAGTAGATCTGAACAGTCAACTCCATTGTTATGTTCTGGTACTCCGGAACCGTTACATGGATTAGAAAAATCAAAATCAAATGGAAGCTCAAATTTAAATATAAGCAATGTACAAAAATCAACCTCACCTGCACCGCCAACAGAAAGGAAGGCAACTAGTTATATATCAGTAAGTTACGCGAAATTATTTTAAAGTACCAGTAATGTGTATGGTTTGATTTTTACATTAATTTTTTTTTTATCAATATTAGAATACCTCAGTGTCAAGTAGTAAATACATTCCTCGTTTAATTGATTTACAAAACGAATCAAATAATAGTAATGCTTCAACGTTATCGTCAACAAATGGAAATAATAATGAACTATTACCCTATACATGGAATATTCATGATGTATCACAGTTTTTACGTGTAAATGATTTGGCAGCTTATTGTGACGCATTCAGTCGTAGTAAAGTAGATGGAAAAAATTTACTAGAATTAACGAAAGATGAAATTGTATCAATGTTATGCATGAAAGTTGGTCCCGCCCTTAAAATCTATGATTTGATACAACAATTAAAATGTAGAATAAACCCAAATAGATCAAAATTATTAAAGGCAAATAATAATAAAAAATTTTTATAGTGCCTTTTCTTCATTGACTTTTTTGATTTTCGTAAAAGTTTTTTAATTTAAATTTACTCTTCAAAGTTTTAGAATATTTTTCTGCTTGGTTTATTAATAAATAAATTTTAATAAATATTTTTTTCATATCACAAATGTAATTAAAGCAAGGAATTTGAGAACCAATATATAAAAACAAATATTGTATAAATAATAAATTAAAATTTATTTTATATAAATTTTAGTTTATCTAATATGTATGTATATGTACAATAAATATAGAACAATATATTATATTTTTCTTCTAATATATTTGAGATATATGTACATATATACATACATACATATATGATATATGTATAATATACACAGAAATATATAAATATTCTATAAATGTAATTTGATTTAAGTGAAATTTTGTAGTATAGATTATGTTGACCTTAATTTAAATTTTATTTTTATGTATTAAGCATAATTGAGTCATTTTTAATCACTTATTTGAATTTAGTGTTGAGCCCGAAATTATAAAAATTTAAAACATAAGTTAATAGAATGATTACTTAAAATTTCATATTATATTTTTGAAAATTTATGATTTTTGTAAACAAATTTCAAATCAAGAAGTTAATAAAATAATTATTAAGTTAAAAAATAAAGTGACAAATTTTTATTCTTTGAATAAATGCAAATATTTTCAAATATTTTTTGATTTTTTTAAATTTAATCAAAACATCTTTAGAATATTTAGAATTGGTTATAATCATTTTTAGATATTATTAACATACTTTTAATTCATAGTGTAAAATTAAGACCAAAAATTAAACATTTTCTTCTGAACAAAAGTAAAATTTTAATTAATTAATATAAAACTTTTCATTTTTGAAATAAAAAAAAAATATTTTTTTTAAATGTCATATCTTACGTTTTAAGTAATGTATATGTTTAGTTTTATTTTAGATTAGTTTAAAATTTTTTCTGAATATTTCTTTTGTATAACTCATATCTCATTAATATTATATATTAAGAATATTTTAATTACATCTTTGTTTTGTTTTAAAAGAATAAATATGTATTTTTCAATATATATCTTCATAATCGCAATTTACAAGAAATTGAAGAAAAAAATTATGCAATGACACCTAGGTATTAAAGCGATCATTCAAATTGCGATCAAACTTCCTTATATTTTCCAACATTTACTTATTATTTGTCGACTATTTAAAAAATCTATTATAACACCACAATCAAATAACAAATTTATAAAAGAAAAACAAAATAACAGTGACTTAATTAAAAAAAAAATTGAAACTTAAAAAGTAAAACATTTTTAATGATTAAAGCAATTAAAATTATAAAATAAAAAAACATTAATGTTAATGTTAAACAAAACAAATATCAACCTATTTGTTAGTACATATGTATTTATATCTATTATTGTTAAGAGGTTAAAATAAAATAGGTAAACAGAAAAAGAAAATAAAGCAAAACAAATTTTTTAATCAAATTTCAATATTTTTCATACAAAATGCTCATCTTATGCAATTTAAAATTTTTGAATAACATGTAAATTCAATAGTCAAAGTAATAATTTCTTTTTAAATAAAATATTTTTGTAAATTTTCCAATCCAGTGTAATTGAATAGTAAGTAATGTGATTTTCATTTACAGATAAACTTAGAATTTACAACGCCAATTAAAAAAATTATGGATATAAAAATTTATTTATAAAGATTGTTGATGGATTATATTTCCAATGATTTGATAATGTTTCTTTTTCTAATGAAATTGCATATTCAAATTTTCTTTAACACCTATATAAGAGATTTTAATTATTGAATCATATTATATAGAATATTAGAAGCTTATAGCCATCTAACTTACTTAATTGACAACACGTAAAAATTATAAAGTTGTAAAATTTGTAATTATTTATCAAATATTTACTTCACACTATTTTTCTACTTTGAAAATACACTGTTAAATACACCAAAGTAATAACTCTTAATTTTATCAAAAAAAAAATTCCAATGACTGTTAATTTATGTTACTTTATATCAGTTAATCGATTTGTCAACAATTTTTACAATTCATTATGCAAAATTAAATTATAAGAATATTGAAATAGATAAGTTGGTAAATAAAAATTAAAAATCGTACACAAAAAATTTCTATACTTGAAACTCAAAAAAAAATTAAAGAAAATGAATGAAATAAAAGAAAAATTAAATGTCTGGGACTTGACTGTAATATGATAAATAAAAAATTATGTTCTTTATCATGAACTAAAAAAGAAAATACATTGGAAAAATTAATAAATTTGGCAATTATACGAAATATAACTAAAAAAAATTAGCTACTTTACTAGAAAGAAATATAATCAGGCCAATTGTAAATTATAAAAAATTACAAAATTTTATAAATCCTGATAAAATTATTTTGTTTTGAGAAGATTAATATATACATATATATGTAATATATACAACTGTGTATTTAGTTTGATCATAAAATCATAAGTTTGATAAAAACTCATAATAAGGACCTCTAAAATTTAAATATAAAGTTTTTGAAATAAATTTTTCGACAAAAGTAAGTTACTTTTACAATTTACGACATTACAGGTGGTATACAATTTTTTTTTTTGTTTCTTATTTCAAATAAAATTTGAAATAGTCATTAATGACGTATTTTGTTTTAAAAATTGTAATTTAAAATTGAAAAACAAAAACAAATATTACCATTATAAAGCAGATATTTAATATAAATATTAAACAAAAAAAGAAAAAAAAATATCATTATTATTATATTATTACTCTATTATATTATATATACATAAATTGTAGTATATTAAAAGTAAATGAAACAAAAAAGAAATTATTTTAATGGAATATAAGAAAAAAGAAAATGTAAATATAAAATCTATTATAAACTTTCAAATTGTAATGTTTTTTATTTTAAATTTTTTCAAATTAATTTATTTTTTCAGTACCATGAAATTTAATTTCCTTTCATAATTCCTTAATGAAAAAATATTATTTTAATCACCTTTATGTCATTTAATTTTTTTAAATTTCAAAGACTGGAATCTATTTAGAGTACAAATCCAGATACTCAAATAAATATTCATGCAGTTTTGAATGAGAGTGCAATTTAATAAAACAGGTGAATTTTGGTTGTAGTGAAATCTCTTTAAATGTCTAATTTTACATTGATATTTATCACATGGATATTACAGTTTTTTTTTTACAAAGATTCATGATATACTGAATATTTGTAGAAAGATATGATGAATCTTTATATTATACATATTATTAATTTCCTGGGGTTACAAACACATTATACTTTCATTCCATGATCGCTGATATGAATGATCAATCATTTCATGATCGATTTTAATTTAAACTTAGTCCTGAATTCAAATCTAGTTATTCTGTTTATTTGTGAGTAGTTGTTTCTATTTTTGATTTTAAATAACAAGGTAAAATGTAAAAATTATCAAAATGCCTAAGGGCAGGCAATAGCATTAGAAATTTGCGATTAAATTAAATTTCAAACATTTAACAGACCAAGAAGTAATTTCTTATAAAAAAAAAGCTTTTTTAAAGTTTAAAAGAGATCTACACGAACCACTGGTTTGTAAATAACACAAATTGATTTGAAACATTTAAGAAAAAATTATGAATAAAAATTAAAATCTTCATACTTATTGCGATAGTCAATATAATATATTGAAAATTCCATTAAAAAGAAATGTAATTATATTAAAATAATATAAAAAATCATAATTAAAACGCATTAAGACACTTTTCTACTCTAATATAAGGCGTGGGTGCAGTTTTCTATATATGAATTTCTAATAAATTAATTATTTGAAGAAATTTTTTAAATTATTGCATCATGCGAGACAAAGATCTTGTAAAATTACTATTTATCTCATGCAATAAGTACTAAAAAGTCATAATATGGAATAAAATAAAATTTTAAAATTAATTCAAAAATTTTTATTTCTTTTTAGTTGATTGATTAAATAGAATATAAAATGTGACGTATAATACTTAACTCGAGGTTTTTACGTGTAAAAAATAATTTTATGTACTTCAATCAAATTGAATTACTTTTAAAATTAACATACTAAATGTATCAATGAATTTAATTGAACAATAATATATAAAACGTTTATAATACACAGTTTTTTCTTCTAATTATTTTTTAAATTTAAAATCTCATTTGGGTTGTTTAAACCATGTGTAATATAAACCACATATTATGTAGTCCAAAATTTCGGATTGCGATACTTTGATAGTTATTATATACATACAATTATGTTTACATATACTTACAATTATTAATTTGTTCTATCCAAAGTAAAATCGCATTGTGTCATAGGAAGGTTGTGACTGATTTTATCGTTCTATCAGTGTAAAATGGGTTAAATGAACAATGTAATAATACTGGACCCATGTGCTATATGCATTCAATTAAAATATTTTTATTCATATTTTTAATTTTACTATATATGATATATATTGTATATATACTATACGTATACATAATTACATTGCATTAACAGTTTCTTTTTATTAACAGGAGATGGTGACGTTAACGCTTCTCTTTATTTCAAAAAATTTTGCAGTAAAAATTAAAAATCACGATTTTATTTTTAAAAGAATTTTATTGAAATTTTCATCTTATCCACAAGTATTTGTAAAATAATGAAAATATTTCTTTGAATAAAGCAATAACGTTCTTTTTTCTGAATTGTTTTATATTAGAATTAATGACGTATTTAATATAAGAATATTATTGGAAGATGTCATATCCGTTTTGCAAATATAGCAATAAATTTATCCCTTTTTAACATGCACCGTACATAATTATGCAAAATTTCATTAAAGATTAGTTATTAAATCGGTTTTCCCAAAGCTTATTTAGTAAAACGTAAAATCGTGTTAAAGTTTCCTAATCAGCGGAAAATATTTTATTGAAATATTTCTTTTCGCATTTTTATCCATTACTAGCGGTTGAAATGTGATTGGAACGTCATTCTATGTTTCTGAAAATACTAATACCTGTTTTCATTGTACATTTACATGTGTATAATTGTTTTTAGGCTTATTGAACGATTTTGATTCAACAACATTTTTATTTAACAAAGTTGATTTAGAATTGAATAAAAAGATTTCTAAATCATCAAAAATAAAAAATTTAGATTTCAAATTT